AGCGGTTGTAACCATTTATAGACTAGGGGCCCAGTGTGAGCTACGGTTCTGCTCAGACCATTGCAGAACATTCCTCCCCGGACTGGAACAAGCTTCCCGGGGTGAATATTTGAGTGTATTGATTTAACATCTCTCTTTTTGCAAAAGTCCCGCACTATTTGCTTTGAATATTTAAGTTTTAATGGATATTTCCCAGTGAAACTTAACTGTGTGGACAGTCAGGTTTCCTTATAAAAAGAAAAAAGTAGCTATTCAAATGACACTCGGCATATTTGATTCTTGCTCATATTACTGAACTTGTACCACTTAAGCTCCACAACAACTGTAAAAAGTAATTGCTGGTATTCTAGTAATTACAGATCGCTCAGCGCAGCACATGCTGATAAGCAGGAGGAGCAGTAAGTGAGATGTTCTGCAGGGTGTCACCCTGTGTCACCACGATCCGTACGGCCGGGCACTGCACATCTTGCCTTGTGCCATCGCGACGTAAGCTCTGGGTGGCCTCTGATACTTCATTCTTCAGAACAATACTATTTCGCAGCTTTGTTTATCGCTATCCTTGCAGCTGCTTAAATTAGCCTGTGAATCTGGTTTATTATATATTCTTTATTGCCAAGCTTGCCTGTTACGAGAAGGCTGAGAGGGAACCTTAGAAATGCCTCTAAATATCTTCAGGGTGGGTGTTAGGAGGAGGGGGCCAGACTCTTTTCAGTGGTGCCCAGCGACAGGACAAGGGGCAACGGGCACAAACTGAAGCAGAGGAAGTTCCAGCTGAACATGAGGAGGAACTTCTTCCCTCTGAGGGTGACGGAGCCCTGGCCCAGGCTGCCCAGGGAGGTTGTGGAGTCTCCTTCTGTGGAGATATTCAAGACCCACCTGGACGCGGTGCTGTGCAGTCTGCTCTGGGTGACCCTGCTTCGGCAGGGGGTTGGACTGGCTGACCTGCAGAGCTCCCTTCCAACCCCGACCATTCTGTGATTCTGTGATTCTGTCAGTCAGGGACGTCTGGTTTGAATATGGGCATCAACACAGGATCTGGTAGCGGGAATAACTCCATTCTAGCCACATTATTTAGGTCTAGGTAACACTTTAACTGGCAGACATCCTCTAAAACACACTGCAGCCAATGTTAGGGTTTTTTCCACCTAAATTAAGCACCTCTTAAGGCCATCCCCATACAAGTAAATTAATGTTTTCATGCCACTTCAGCTGGAGGAGGTTTTAAAAGCTACTCATTGTGGC